TTCCGGCTTGTAAGGAAGTTCCGTGGTGTGCTTGGCCAAGAGATGAGGTCGGTCATTGAACAAGGATTGCCTGATATGGCAGCCCAGGATGCTGTAGCAACTAATGGCGTACTGTCTAACGAGGCATTTGACGCATCTGCACTGGCATCTTTGTCCAAATACTTGCCTGCTTCATGGTTGAAAGACAACAAGCGACTTGCAAACACTACCACCACGGTCTCCGTTATGACTCGTGTTTCAGATAGCCCGGAATTGGCGTCTGACCTTTCTGCCACGCTTGACAGTTTCGTTGAAAGTCTCAACGAGTCCATGGCCGAACTTCGAAAAGAAACACCCGGCACTTTGACTGACGAAAACAAGGAAGAAGTGAAGCACCTCAAGACCAGAAAGCGGAAGCTCTTCGCAGACACCCTCAAAGAACTACGCCAGATGGGTGTCCGCTACAATTTGTCACAAGATCGACTTGCTGAGCAAGAGTCCCTAGCCATCTGCCTTGCCTCATCTGCACCAATTGATTTCGATGCTTCCGAAACTGCTGAATACTTCTTCCACAAGGTGCTTGACCTAGCGCCCCAGGTTCGTAGGGCATCGCGGGAGCACTCTGAGGAGGTCACATCGAATGAAGTAACGCGTGGAATCGGCTTCGTGGAGGGATTCATTCACCTGCTACTTTCCCAACGACGTAATGTCACAGCGGTTACTACGGCATGGTCTTCATTACACGGAGCGATCAGCCGGTTGCAAGGAATTTCTCGTTCGGATATCGACCGGTCTATTGTGCCAAACACAAAACGCAGCAACTGGAGACAAGCTCTGGGCTGGCTCATCGAGATACTGAGCTTCTCCATCCAGCTCATCGAGATCCATGGCAAACTGGGAGAGTCGAAGAATGTCGCGGCCATTCAAGAGCTCCAGTCTTGGTCAAGCCGCTTCGCGTCACACAATTCAAACCTCAAGACGCTGGCTACTCCTCTAGACCGCGTTACAACAACAGCACTTCAAGACCTCGAGACCAATTTCTCAATGGATCTTCAACTATTTATGGGGGTATTGGATCAATTGGTTGCGGCCAGCCCTAATCTTGGCTTTATCCTAGATGAGGTTCGGCTCTGGTCACAAATCGAAGAAACTGAACTTGAACCCACCACATCTTCCTTGGACTTGACGGAGTTTGTGAACTGGGTTTCCACTCTCTGTGACAAGACATTAGTTGCTGTTGAAGCTGCCAGGAAATCAGGGAAAGAGATTCTTCGTGGTGACCAAGAGCCAGGCTGGCTAACGAATCACAGCGACGGCTTTGGTTCCATGATCAAGAGACTTCGCATGAGCGAGATCGAAGCTGGCATCGAGCAGTGTCTGGATCTGTTATCTCGTCTTGAGCTTGGCCAACCTCAAATCAGCATTGCGGCTAAAGCAGCGATCAATCTACTTTTGCCCATTCTTGAACGGTTTTCTTCTCTTTGCCGCCAATCAGTTGACCGATTTCTTGATATCCACCGTGCGACCGGCCACATGGCTTTGCATTTGACCAAAAGTTTTGCGCAGATAGCTGCCAAGGGCTTCTGCACACCGCAAGAGAAGAGCGAGGAAACTGCAAAGTCAGGCAAACTTGAGTCTGGTACTGGCCTGGGTGACGGTGAAGGTGCTGAGGATATCAGTAAGGATATTCAAGATGACGAGGACCTGACTGAATTGGCTCAAGAGCCCAACAAAGAGAAGAATGAGGAAATGGAGGACGAAAAAGATGCTGTCGACATGGCTGATGATGAGCTCGAGGGTGACTTGGGTAGTGTTGACGGGGCCGAGGAAGAAGAGGAGGGATCAAAGAAGGGAGATGACGAAGAGGATGATGAGGAAGACATAGACGAAGAGACAGGAGATGTTGATGATCTTGACCCTACGGCGGTGGATGAGAAGATGTGGGATGGTGAGAACGAGGATGAAGCAGAGAAAGACCAAGAGGGCGACAAGGGCGAGGGTCAGAAACAGGATGATGAGCAGATGGCTGCGGACGATGACAAGAAGCAGAAGAATGAAGGAGAGCCCGAGCCAGAAGAGTCGAAGAGCAATGAAGAAGAGCCCGATCCGGAAGATGTGGAGGGTGAGCATGAGGATGCCAAGCCCCAGGAGGAGCTCAACAAGCAGGAGCAAACTGCACAGGAGAAGGATGCACTGGCTCTGCCTGATGAAATGGACCTTGACTTTGACGACCCGGACGCCATGTCTTCGGATAGCGATGATCTTGACTTGGCTTCGGACACTGAGGAGCCAGTACAGGAAGAAGCTCAGCCGGATGACCAGGTTAACGATGATGAAGATGAAGGAAAAGACGTTCAAGAAGAGCAAGGTGATGCCCCTGAACAAGAGGACAACGAGGAGAAGGAGGAAGAAGAGGGAGAGATTGAAGGAGCAGGAGACGACGAAATACAAGAAGACCCTGTGGAGATGGAGGAAGAGAAGCAGGAGGAAGACCAAGCCGAAGACGAAGCCGACAACCAAGCCCCTAAGCCAGATGAGGCTGCCACGGCGGATAAAGACAATGTCGCCCCGAGTGATGTCAAGAGCTCAGGGTTAGACGACGAAGGCGATGCCATGGACCTCGACGAGGAGTTTCAGGACAAAGCCGCCCAGGAGGATGGAGAGAAGGGTCAGGCCAAGGCTGATGCAGATGCCGCTGCTGGCAACCAGGGCTCAGTTTCTAAGGACAAGGAGCCTCCTCAGAATCAGGAGGAGAACAACGAAAATGAGGAAGCCGCAGAATCTGCTGCCAGCAACCCCTTTAGAAAGCTTGGAGACGCTCTCGAAAAGTGGCATCGACAGCAAGACGATATCAAAGATGCTGGTCCGGACGATGAGGAGGAGAAACAGACCAACCAGCCTGATGCTGATCAAGGCCGAAAAGAGTTCCAGCATCTCCAGCACGATGACTCGGCAGCTGATGCGCAAGCCATGGGCACAGCCAAGGAGGAAGAGGTTCAGCCCATCGACGAATCCATGGCAATCGATGAAGAAAAGCAGGAACCCCAGAGTCGTGTTATGGAAGAAGATGACGATGAACCAGCCAATGACGAGAAACCCGATCAAATGGAACAGGATGAGCAAGCCGGTCCACAGGACAGTAAGACTACGGATCAAGAGGACACGCGCTCGGGAGTCAAGACCCGGCAAGGAAATTTCAACCGAGAGCAGACCCCTGTCGAGGAGGAGGAGCAGAAACTAGCCGAGAATGAAGATGAGATGATGGAAGAAACGTCTACTCAGCTATCAACAACACATATCTCCGACGGTCAGAGAGATCTACGAGATTTCGGAGAGTGTATGCAGCAATGGGTCGACTTCCAGAGCAAGACCCATGCTCTGTCGCTTTCTCTTACCTCGCAGCTCCGTCTCATCCTCACGCCTTCTCAGTCGACCAAACTTTCAGGATCCTTCCGTACTGGAAAGCGACTCAACATCAAGCGTATCATCCCGTACATAGCCTCGAGCTACAAGAGAGACAAGATCTGGATGAGACGCAGCGTTCCTACCAAGCGAACATACCAGATCTTGCTGTGCGTTGATGACAGCAAGAGTATGGGAGAGACAGCATCGGGAACCTTGGCCATGGAATCACTCGTCATGGTCTCGCGCTCGCTCACAATGCTGGAGGCCGGGCAAGTCGGTGTGGTGGGCTTTGGCGGGGAAGTGTTCACGGCGCACGAGTTGACGGACCCTTTTGCCGCCGATGCTGGAGCCAAGGTCCTGCAGAACTTCACCTTCTCTCAGGACCGTACCGACATTGCGCTCTTGATCCGGCAGACAATTGACAAGTTCCGAGCCGCACGCCAATCCGGTGGCAACTCTGACCTGTGGCAGCTCTCACTTATCCTGTCCGATGGTCTTACGCCCTCTTCTGCGCACGATAGCATCAGGCGGCTACTCCGAGAGGCAATCGAGGAGCGCATCATGATTGTATTCATCATCATGGACGACACGGGGAAGAAGAAGGGCGACAGCGTCTTGGAGCTCAAAGAGGCCAAATTCGTCAAGGATGGAAGCGAGAGTCGGGTTGTGATTGAGCGGTACCTGGATACATTCCCATTCCAGTATTATCTAATTGTGCATCATCTGGAGGAGTTGCCTAGTGCGCTGGCTGGTTTACTACGTACTTGGTTCTCAGAGGTCACGGCATGATACCAATAGACTTGTTGTTTTTGCTCTAGGGGGGGAAGAGTAGTGTAGACGGGACGGTTGAGTTTATATAGATAGAAGTTACGGACAGCATGCATAGCGGCGTTACACGGTGGGCGCATTTGTCGATGTTTTGACGTTTTAGTTTTATATCTCTGGAGTTTAAAAATATATATGGATAATCTATGTTGGGTTTCATACATCTATCCAGCATCTCGGTTTGTGACTTGACGGGTGGACATAGGACATCTATCACGCTTGCTGATTGAGAATGCCACGGCCAGGCAGATACTGTCAACCAATGTAAAGCAAAAGCGGCAGGCGCTGTGTGGTGCCTCAGCTGGGGCTGAAGGAAGCCATTTCCAGTCAGATATCCCGCGTTTCGCCACGGGACCCCTGATCTCGATCTGCGTTGGGGGTGGCACTAGCTGATATTTGAACAAATGTGCTGCGCTATTGATGCAGCCATGCTGTCTAGACCCTCATCTCACATCTCGGCCCAGGCGCCATGGCCCCTCGAGAATGAATAGGTAATTACCCCAGGGGCGAGGTTAATAGACATTTGTAATGGAGCAAGGGGGAGAGAATAGAAATATGGAAAAGGAAAAGGAAAAAGAACAGCTCACCGCCCTTGGTTAGCATTCGCGATAGATGGACTATACACAGCGCTGCTCCCTGTCAGGTCTTGGGCTGACACAAAGCTCATCATAAGCTTGAGACAGCAAGGCAAGTAAATCTGCCTTATTAATGCCCCTCCTCTCCTCCCCTCCCACCCCTCACTCTCTTCTCTACCTTTCAAGCCACCGCCGCTGTTCTCAAATCGACGGAAAATGGGAACCCTCTTCCGTGCTTTCCGCGCCGGTTTCAACTTGGCAGGAGTGACCACAGGTCCCCCTGATAAGCCACCCGATTGGGCTTCTTTCCAAAAAACCTGCTCCTTCACTTTCAAATCGTACGTCGCTTTCTATCTATCTATCCTCACTCTCATCCCGTCTTCCTCCATCTTCGAAGCGGTACCACCGAGAACCCAGCAACTCTTAAACTGACGATGCAGTCTTGACTTAGAGAGGCATACTTGGACGAAGTGTGCTTCTCATTCCATGACCGCCTGAAGGAATGGCCCCAAAAACCGGCCCATATAACATTCAAGTATCTCCAAGCAGTTGACTTCTGCTTCCACCTGGGTGCCCCTAGGATGGTAGACTGGGGCCTGGAGAATATTGCTCTCATTGAAGACCTTGGCGTAATCAAGCCTGGCGTGGGCAAAACTGGTGATGCATACGAACTAGCTCGTCTGCATTCCTACGGCCAGGAGCTGGCGGGCCTTCTGCGCGATCAGCAAAGACTGGAGAGGGAGCGCGGGGGGATTGACTGGAAGGCGAGAATGAAGAGAGTGGTAACTGCGGACTGGGCAACAGAAGCGTCTTCCCCGACAGTCGCCGCAACAACTACACCAACCACTGTAATCCCAGCCGTGTTTGTGGAGGAACCTACAACGCGATCTTTACCGCAGAAACCGCCTCCGGCACCATCTGAAACTACTAGAACTCTGTCAGATCCTGCTCAGCTCGGTCGGCGCAAGCTTCCGCCACCTTGGACGCCAAAATCGACATCGACCACCGACTCTGGTGTCAGTTTCGGCACTATAGGTCCTCAACTATCCCCCAAACCCTCAAAAGCAGAACTGGGTCGAAAACAGTCTCGAAATTCCCTTCTTGATAAACCAGGCGATTCTCGTTCTGGGGCTGTCGAGAACGGCAATCCATCTCCGCGGCTGTCGCCTAAGCCCTCTCAGCCACGGTTGCATAAAGAGCGGTCTCGAAATTCCCTAATCGATAAACCAAGTGATTCTCAGGCTAGAAACATCAATGGCAGTAATCAGAATGTGAAGGCGGTAACCCCTGATGATATGGCCAAGCAGTTCAAAGTTAGGAAAGATACCTTTGAGCTGAGGCTCAAGGCTCAGGCAGATCGTCAACCAAGGAACCCAGTCGCCAACCCAGCACTCAGTTCAGAAAGTCGACGACTTTCCCCGAGCCCTCGTCGCCACCATCTCCCGGACCTAGTACGTGATTCAAGACTTGATACAACCTTTGATCTGAATAGCCGAACAGTCTGTCACGTTTCCTTCATAACCAATCTCGCCAGCCGACAGCGCCGAGTTAAAACGGAAGTGACATGGAAGAGAAGTAAAAGAATTGGGGCTGGTGGTTTCGGAAGCATCTGGCTTGAGAGATGCGTCGAGGGAGGGAGTTTGGGGCAACTTCGGGCTGTGAAGGAGATTGCAAAGCAGCCAGACGCTACGCATGCCGTTGACTATACAAGAGAACTTGAAGCCATTGCCAAGTTTTCTCATGAGAGGGTGAGTCTGGTCTTCTGCCAAAACGCGGTGCATGTGATTAATGAATTTCAGTATTCGGCATTCTTTGTCCAGTCGACGGGTTGGTATGAGGACGAGTACAGCATTTTCATACCAATGGACTATCATGAAATGGGTGATCTACAACAATTCATGAAGAGGCCTCTCCCTGAGAGGGAAGCGAAGGACATCATCTCACAGATACTCGAGGGTTTGGCGTTGATGCACGACAATGGATTTACACACCGAGATCTCAAACCAGCGGTAAGGATGATTTGCGCTCCTTATGCAACAATATTAGCAGCGGCTGATGACTTGGCGTTAGAACATATTGGTAGTGGAGACATCTCCTCAATGGTGGGTGAAGATTACAGATTTTGGAATATCAAAAAGAGCAGAGGAGTCTTCGCCGTTGTGCACAGTCATTGGCACACCCGCCTATCTTGCCCCAGAAGTTCGAAGCATGCAACATCGACCTCGACATCTGGGCCTAGGTGGTAACAGTACTGCTGGACAGAGAGATTCTTACACCAATGCAGTTGATCTTTGGTCCACCGGAGTGATTGCATATCAGTTGCTCACGACTCAATTGGTCTTTTCGGAACCTGGAAGTCTGCAAAACTACGCGGGTGGAAAGGCAAAGTTCCCTCGTCAACCCCTCACGCGCGTTAGTGCCAGCGACATTTGTTTGGAGTTGCTAGCGAAGCTATTGTCACCAGCGGCTGCAGAGAGGCCTTCTGCGGCCGAGGCTTTGGCCCATTCATGGATGCTTTCACCTGATATGACGGGCAGCCAAACCGGAAAGCCGGGTAGATTTTCTGAGTATTTCATCCAACACCCCGCAAACAGAACTTGTTGCTCAGTATCGCTAACGTGGTGTCTATAGCACTTATCGCAGTCATCAAGTCTATTCGGTGACTGAAGAGGCGAGTGCGGAATGGCCTAGCACACTCGGCTAGGTGGGTGGTTACTCTGCCCGTGAATATTGAGCGGATTCTCGCTCGGGTTTGCATACACATGTCAGGTATGCTAGGAATAATTTATAATAGTAATCTAGGAGATATGGCCCGTGGCATTTTCGGACCAGCCAACACCACAATCCGCCTCTTGGAGTGCGATGGCAGCGTGAGTGAGCCTCGGGTAGGATGAGCTACCTACCCTACGCGCTCTCATGCTCGCATTAAACAAACAAGTGATCGCCGTCTCAATCCATCTACCCGGCCCCCAATTGGACCCTAAATGCCGGATCTCCCCTCACCCAAGGCCACTACAGGCCGCCTAGCTGGGGGCCCTGTAGGCTCTACCTCAGGTATGCATGCCTGACCCTGGCCCAACTGACCTTTAAATGTGCATGTCTTAGAACCTCATTCCCAGCCGTCCCCTCCTTTTTGTCGTAGACAACGAGTTCATCGCAAGACCGGGCAATCGGGAACGAGACGTTTTCACTTCCTCCCTCCCTCGTCAATCCTCATCGGTGATTAGTATTGTTATTGTTGCCATCGGGTATGTCCCTTTTCGCCCTGCCGACAGCAACCTATAAGGCCATCCCGTTACAGTGTGGACGTCGTCGACTGCAGCACCAGCTGCTCCCCATCTTCACCAGAACCGCATCGCCGTCTACCCCTTCCGCTCGACCGCAGTTTCACCAACGCACCTATACGATGGCTGTGAATGGTAATCAGGGCCTGCGGCTCAGTAAGTCTTTGGGCATAGCGACGGGCCTGTAACGCGAAGAGAGCGCAGAATGGCTAACAAGTCCTGCATAGAAAATCCCAATATTTTGTGAGTAAGCATGAATCAGGGCCTAGGCGATGAGTCAATTCCAAGAGGAGACCCAGAAAGAGGGGAATTTGTGATGGGCAGAAGAACACTCAGGCCCCTAAGAGAGAACCAGCTATGGGCAAATCTTAGACACGGTAGCGATCCTACGTCATCAGCCGCATGCTTGTGCTTGCGACGGCACATGGGACGGAACTGGATGAGATGAGATGAGACGAGATGAGATGGGCGCAAACCCAAGCTAACTAACGGCCATTTATTTACAGTGTTTGCGACATTCAAGAGAAATTCCAAACAGCGATCCACGAGTTCGATAAAATGTAGGCTCCTTTCTCTCACTTTTTTCTCATTGTCATGAACTACGGGAAACAGGCAAGGTCAGATAAAACTAACCAACCTCTCTGCCCGCTCCCACAAACAGCGTCCTCACAACCAAGAAGCTTCTCGTCTTCGCCAACAACTTCTCCATCCCCGTCCACACCACCACCCAGACGGTCGCCAAGCTCGGCCCAACCGTCCCCTCGCTGGCCTCCCTCCTCACCTCTCCGGCCCACGACAAGACCAAGTTCTCCATGTACATCCCCCCCATCGCCGCCCAGCTCGCGCCCGCCTCCTCCGTCGCCCTCGTCGGCATCGAGAGCCACATCTGCATCACCCAGACCGCCCTCGACCTCCGCGACGCCGGCCACCGCGTCTACGTCATCGCCGACGCCGTCAGCAGCTGCAACCCCGCCGAGGTCACCGTCGCCCTCGACCGCCTCCGCGCCGAGCCCGGCGTCACCGTCACCACCAGCGAGAGCTGGATGTACGAGACCGTCGGCGACGCCTCCCACCCGGGCTTCAAGAGCCTCCTCGGCGTCGTCAAGACCTCCCTGGCGGACACCAAGACGGTCCTCGGCGCGCTGCCCCCAAAGATCTAGTTGCAGAGCGGGAGGGGGGTTTCTGCTTTTCTTTTTCTCTTAGGTGCTGCTAGACTTTCCCAGTCATTAGGGTGCGAGGATTTCCATTGAATCAGGTTAGACATGGCCCGTTTTTGAATTGATAGTAGACCCTGCATATCACACCCAAGGCTGGAAACCTCTGCCGAGACTTGTCATCCTTCTCATCCTGCATTTCATTCGTCAGTACGCCGCAGATCTACACCTTTACATCCCCTTTCAAGATATACGTTCTGTATCTATTACATGTCCATATTCACACGCTTATTCGATCACGAATTGGTACTTGGCAGCAGTGTATATGATAAAAAAACATTTTTCTATTTTTTTTTTTCCTCCTCTCTTCTTCTCTCATCTTTTTCTCTTTTATTCATCATGCACATAATGCAGTGACTACTTCTAGCTACTGTTCCCGTACAGGGCCAGCAAGGTAAGATACAGGAGACCCTCGCTGCTACCTATCAAACCTTCGGTTTAGGAGGAGGAGCCATCCATGAAAAAGCGGATGCCCCGCCGACTGGGTTCGCTGCTTTTGGAAGGGTCTGCGAATTGCGAGCCTCACGACCAGTGCTCTGTGGCGATGATTTCACTTCGGGCCCGTAACTCACGGCTCTTTTCGTGTCCCAACGAATATTACCATTTGATATCGATTCACCAAGACCGGCCTGACTCTTACGGCGTCCTTCTCCACCTTCTCTCGTCGTCGAGGGTGCTGGTTCGTAGGAGGAACCAGTCCTAGCCGAGGTTGATTTTTGTGGCTTCAGAACCTTCATGTTACGGCTTGAGCGTGCTGCTGGTTGATATCCGCTTAAAGGTCCGGTTTCCCTGGGTGAGCCGTCTGCCCCGTTGGCCCCTCCTTGACGCCATGGTCTCCAAATGCCGCTTGGGGGTTCCTTCCGGCTCGACTCGGACGTGATTGAACCTTCCTTGATACTCGATTCTCCGTCAGTCCTGGCTTTTACAGACTTGTCGCTCTCCAAGCCGGCTTCGGAGGCGCTGCTTGGTCCCATATCCTTGGTACTTTCGGACATTGTGCCCAGAGGGGAGATGGATCGGCTGACTTCGTCGTCCCCGTGATGCTGTGGACTTGTCGGGCGGATATACTCAACGCGGTTGTTTTCTGAGAGATCGCCCAATATGAATGGCGCCGCGTTTGCGTTCAACCTTGGCTTACCGGGAATGAGGTTTGAGGTACAGATGTGCTTGAAAACAGCATCATCCTCCGGTCTCACAAATGGCACTCGCAGGCGAGACCTGTCACTTCCATACAAGAGCATTGTGTTCTGGGAGAACAGAATATCGGCCGAGTGTAGTCTTAATGCATCACTTCCGACGTAAATGCGAATGCCTCGACCGTCTCTCAACTGATCATTCATATCCATCCCGACCACTTCAAAAGCGACGGCCATGGAGGGGACAGGGCGTTCGGGGTTGGCTGACCGACTATGATGGAGAATTGTGGCTTCGGCGAAATAAACGTTCAGCCGAGCCCGGTAGGTGCCATCCATATCTCGCTGAATTTCATCAGACAGGCCGAGCTCTTTGATCAACGATAAATCAACCGTGGACTTTTGTGAACCAGTACAAACATCAGCATACAGAAGTGAATTATGCGCAAAGTTTGTTGTCAACCAGCAACGCACAATGGACGGCACACTTCCGAGAACGAACAACGAAGTTGGTGGCTCGAGTATATCCAGGGAGGAGTCGTCATCATCTTCTACAGCGAAGGTTGTATCAAGGCCTAGGCTGCTCGCTCGCCCAGATGCCACTGAATGGTGTGAGTGGACCGAATGTCCTGCTGAACTGTGTCTACCGTCTGATTTGTGGGAGAGGGACCGCTCCATCATTAGGCTGCTGGCCGGTCGCGCTGGTCCAAAGTCTCCCGAGTGGCGATTGTTGTGCCCGGCCCAGCTTGATCCATGCAGCGCGCTCTCATCAAATCGAACGCTGTTAGCCCTTGAAGCAGCCCCCCGGCGAGTTGGTTCCTCTTCTGCAGGGCCTAGGTGCAAAGAGTTGAGAAGCTGCTCCCCCTGTTCATCCAAGTCATCAAAGAGGTCTTCCTGTGAAACGGGGCCTATTCTATTAGCTAAATTGGTTGAACAGCGGGGATGAGGTGAATTTCCATACCATGCTGGGGCGTTCCACTGAGGACCCCCGGAAAGGGGGAGTTCCAAACTGACTTGAGGGCGGCGTCGTCTGCTTGACGCTTTTCCAGTTTCATGATGCGATCCGCATGGTTGGCTTGAGCGTACTGAACCTGCTTCACTTCCATCTGTAGATTATACAGGTCTTCTCGTGTGACAACGAAGTGTGGATCCATGCCCAGAGCGGTGGTACAGCACGGACTGGGAATGGGATATGATGCAGCCGAGAGATTTGGTCGCGTGACGACCAGAATCCAAGTGTCAACGAAGTGTGCAGGGCGAATGGTGATGTGTGCGCGAGATAGACAGGGCCTTTCTGCTAACAACGATCCTTTAGAGGTTTGACAGACTGAACGAAAGTCAACCCATGGAGTTGTAGAGTATTTGGATCACCGTTACAAAGCCACAGGCGGTCCGTTCAGCCTTCCTCCGACCTCAAACCTCAAATTGTCGGGGGGATCAATTCATCAGGTCTGCCTAACCCCTTATCGCATCGCCGAGCAAGGACCGAGAGGCCACTTGACAAGGGCGGACCGGAGAACTCTTGTCGTGTCAAAGCCTCCAATAGATTGGTGAAATTATTCTGATAGAGGAGATTGGAATTGTATCGCCTGGTACTTTACAGGTCTTAATTCGTCACCGATTTCGCGTGTAGCTATACTGGGCGTATATTTCGTATGGAGGGGTGGGATGATGGTAAGGACTGATTCAAGGGGAAGTGCTGGATCGGAGTGGTCGATAATTCGCGACGGCTCGAGTAACAGATCGGGACCAAAGAAATCCTTGTCGGCGAGGGAGAATACGTCGGCGCGGATACGAAAAGGGTTGAAAGAGTCTTTGCAACCTTGAGACAGGCTCGGTGGGATGTGGCGGTGGTTGTTGAGGCCAGTTGGACAAAGGGATGGAAGCTTTGGTGGGCGGCGTGGTGGGTAACTTTGTTGGATTTCACCTTTGGCTAGCGACGAGGAGTGATCTGCAAGCGGACACACCCAGGAAGGAAAGAGTCGAGCAAAAGTAGAGGAGGACGCTGCGAGAGGTCGGTTATGCAATCAATTGAACAGGACGGAGCGAGGAGGGTTGATATGAAGGTAAGTCGGAAGGCAGCAGGTGGAAGACGGACGGACGTCGCAGCACGTATTACATGGTGGTGGTCCTACCAGGTAGAAGGTGCATCCCTAGGTACCCACCATCAGAGACGGAGCACCTTAGTGGCTGCTTGGCGTGCATGTACAAAGCAGTACATGGCCGTGGTGAATGCTGGCCTGGACCGGAAGGAAGAAGGACTTCCCCCCTAACACGCCTCAGGGGTGTGAACCCCGTCCTGGGAGTCTGAAGGCTGATCACGTTAGGGGTGCAGCACGCCCGGTGGTGCCTGGGGGCGCCAAGTTTGGGGGTTAGCACCGAGCCTTGGACCTGCTCCATGACGTACCAGCCTGGGGATGGCGACGCATCAGGTACCTGCTTGTACCCTCCACGCCCCTCCCAAGTAAACGCCTGGAACGACTGATGTTTAAGTTGTCGCCCTTCCCAAGCTCCGGCAAACGATACATCATGCTTTGAGTGGTTCTTTCCTCGTCTTGTTCTTATCAATATCCTTTGCGCATCATTAGCGAAGCTTAGATACGAGTCTCATATGAATAGATTGAGCGTCCAAGTCCCCTGATACAGCAGCTTCAAAGCTGGTTTTAATGGTCTCCGCCCTCCACCGTGATTCAACACTCGAGATTTCCATATCATGACACCATGTGAAGTAAATGCCACCTCTTATTTTGTCAGCTACCTCTCTACCTCTAGAATGGTCTATCAAGCTCTATTCGATAAGGTTCTAGCATGCTTGCCCACTGTGTACACTCGTGATGGGACACTGGGCCATCAAATCTCAGAACCGGTCAATTCCCGCCAGAGGGGGAAAACGGGTTTCTCTTCCAAATCTGCCTCAATGTACGGTCGCAGCAAATCAAAGAGAATCTCATAAGCCTCGCCGCTCATGTGAAGCCCGTCTGGGAGAAGGGTATCCAACCCACCCGGCTTCCCATTCTCCAAGGTGCCCAGTAAGGGACCACCAGGCTGGTAATCATTTGGTGCCTGCGAAATGGCTTTGTCCATAATAGCTTGCCATAGATCAACCAGTTCGACATTCGGGTTCTCCCGAGCCACCTTACGGGCCTTCTCAGTGTATGAAGCGCTGATAGCAGACTCCCTCACGGCCGACTTGAGACCAGCCTCGGTGTCTAGCCGATGGTGCTTGATTTGGTCAATGGGAGGGGGGGTGATTAGGAAAATCTTAGGCTGCTGGGCCTTGATGCTGGGGTGGCTGATGATTTTGCCCAGGTTCTCCTTGTACTCTTCCAACGGAACATGCTGTTTGGTGGGAGACCATGGTAACACAGCATCGTTGGCACCGATAAGGATGGCCTGTTGCGAGCGACGTTGTTAGTAATGCCGAGCCGCCGATTGTCCGTGCAGGTCATCCTGACTTACTAGGTATTTTATTTTGGGCGTACCGGTCACAGGTGCTGGGAAGATTTGGTCCAGGTGCTGCACGAGATGTCTGGACGACCAACCAGAAAACCCTCTATTTATGACATCGATTCTTCTAGCACACACTTATAGTGTCTAGTCAGATCATCACGCCATAGGGACAACATCAAGTATCGGTTGTGAATGCGAAACGTACAACCGCCAAGTTTTGCCTGGAGCGAGAAGCCCTGGTTTATTGGGATAGAATGTTCGAAGAGTGAATCCCCCAGCAGAACGAACTGCGGATAACTGGCCTGTGGTGGGTTTGTCATTGAGCATCAGTGAATGGAGGGTGGAGTGAACCGCTGAGCGAGGAATGTGCAACTTACAGCCATGATTAATATGTGGTATGCTTTCGTCGCAAGGAGGAAATGGGGGAGATTGGTTGAACCTGTAAGCAGGTGAATCTTAAATAGCCTCAGGTCTGCGTGGGCGACGCCTGAACCCCTCTTTGTTACCCCAAAGTGCAGTTTGGTGGCTGGATTTGATCTTGCATATAAACGGTGCTACGCTAGATACCCGGCCACCAATTGCGTCTTCCCGTCTCTCCCATTTCGCCATAACTGTTCCCCTGAGGCCATTAGGTGGGAACCTTTCATAATACGTTGGACCTGCATGAAGATCGAATGTAATCTCAAAACGATTGATTGAAACAATAAACAAGCAAATACTAAGATGTAAGAGGAAACACAATGCTCTACAATTTGCCCATTGCTTCGATTGCCATTATCAAGCAAAGACTACTGGACAAACGCTACCTAATAACTTCCTTCGGTATCAAAGCCCCATGTCTTTGGCAAGATGCCTGGTGGGATGTGAAGCCCCACTTTCTCAAGACGACCGTCGGCTGGCCTAATTCTTATCGATAACAGCCTCCCAGCTTTTTTTTTCTGGGTTGTAGGTGCAGACAAAAAATTTCCCGTGCTATGCCAAGATTAGCCGTGCTCTCTCCAATCCTTGATTATATTCAACACCGGCAACGGACGAGGACGTAGCCATTGATCGTGCGCCTAGCTCTAAAGGTGCTTCAAGTCGACGGACATGGCAACCTCGCTCGCTGCGCAGTTGGCGCAGGTTGCCGCCAACTCCAAATCAACCCTCAACCTCAAAGCCCAGAGAGCCGCCCACTCCCAGTCTCTCATTTGGGATCGCAGAGTCGCCGCCACGCAAAGTTACCAGACCTTGTATGCGACGTGCTTCCCAGGTTTCGAGGAGCTTTGCCAGCTCGACAACCGTTTTGTGCGCTTTCAATCGACCATCTTTGGAGAGGAGAGTCAAGGCCAGGACCGCACCCAACTCACGGCCACTGAGAATGAGGAGCTGGATCGGCAAATTGATGCTTTCTTGCGGCTGGCCGGGAGCCGGTTGAGGCTTATGCCGGCAATCAAGGCGATTGAATGGCTTATAAGACGATTCCGGTAATTCAAAGATTCCAAACATGCGATACGTGCCTCTGGCAACCTGTCTGCTAACCTTGATACTAGAATTCACGAGGATAATACATCATCGCTTCTCAAAACCTTCCTCCCCTTCCACTCTATCCCGGCCTTCACAACGCTGCTCTCTATCTTGCCATCAAAGATCCCGCAAGAGTTCCGCTTTCTCGACCCTTACATTCGATCACTTACCCCCCCGCCACGATCGGTCTTTGTCCACCAGGCTGTCCATCATCCTGATTTCTTGTCAATTGTCTCAGAATATACCCTTGAATCATGCCGCATGAACTTCCAACACCCGGCTCTCGTCTCATTCTGGGGCGGTCTTATGACTGAGGCCGTTAGCGGAATCGTCGACAAGGCTAAGTCTGGTCGCGCTGCGGTCCAGAAGGATAACGAGCAGGCTCTGCTTCACAGGCTGGGACCCATCTTCGCCGAATCGCTTGTCTTGAAGAAGGTTCCGACTCTGCAAATCGCCTCATACATGGCTCTGGCTGTTTTCGTGTCCAAGGGCGGGCTGGAGGACATTGCAGTGACCGCATTCATGGAGCAGACAGTATACGGGTGGACCTCGGACACGATCCGCCCGGGTCTTGTTTGTCTCACGATTATGGCGCAACAGCGATCCGCAAAGCAAACCAGCAACAAGGTCACTAGGGCCCTCCTCAAGGTGCCTGAAATTGGCCCTCTGCTGGTTGAAATTGGCCAGGAACGACGAGCCGATAAGCTGGCGAACGGTTTATGCTTGGCCCTGATCGAGCGCTTCACCAAGAAGGGTGATTCTCGAGGTCTTCCTACGATCATGGCAATACTAGACAGCTCGATTCTTAAGGAGAAGCAAGTCGCAGTGATTTTCAAATCGTTACTTTTGACCGCGCTTAAGCTGGACGACTCGAACGACGAGGATGGTGGCTTGCGACGTGATCTTGGCTCCGCTTTGATCTCACTCTCTCAAACAACCGGACCGTCTGGGGACATTATCCAGTCAGTTATCCGCGACGTCGACTTTGATATTGAAGAACTGGAGATGAAGCTTGACCTCTCATTCAGATCTCGGAAACTGCCAGAGGCATCCCAGGGAGATGTTGACATGTCCGAGAGCAATGCAGTCGTGCCGGCCAAGAAGGATTTGGATGCCGCAATCGACGAGCTTGCTGCCCGCAAAGGAAGCCTTTCGCCTTGCCTAGCTCCACAACCCAAGGAGATTTTCGGCGAATTTA